TGTAATGTCCTAGTTATGGAGAAAGTAAGGAATTGTTCAATCTCCTTATGTAATTTTCTCCTCCATCTTATGTAATCTTCTCCTTATTAAATGAAATTTTACTTTAGAATTTATCTCTAGTGTTTTTCTTCTTCCAATTACTATTTAGACTCCGTTTAGGATTTGAATGGTTGCTTTTTTCCTTGCTGCAGTTCCATCAATACGGGTTTCTAAACTTCTCTTTCCAAATTATCATAACACTCCGATTGGATGATTGTTACATATTATTTCAAAAAGTAATCTAGTGTTTTAATGAAGGGAAAAGAGTTTTATGTTTAGCTTTGGTCGAAATTGTTGTTACGATACCAAATTCTATGGAGGACTTTTTATCCCCTGCATTATTTAATAATGTATTTTAAAGGTATATATGTGCCCACGTGGATACATTACTATTTAAAATGATGCAATATTTATGATGTCCACGTAGACACATATATAACTTTAAAATGCACTATTAAATAGTACATAGGGTAAAATATACTATTAAATAGTACATGGGATAAAAAATTATTTTCAAAGTTTGGTATCGTAAGAACAATTTCGGCCAAAATTAGAATATTTTTCCCTTTAATGAATTCAAATGTTTGAATAAATTGTATCACATGGCGTTGCTATGTTACACATTAATAATTTGAATAATAAACTCAGAAGGAAAGTAAGGTACGGGATAGAGTTATTATAAAAAAGGTATACATTGACTATACAATATAGCTTGTGAAAAGTCATATTAAGTATACGCTGGCACAATATAGTTTACTTATACCTGAGCTATATATTGACCATACATTATGAATACACTCAAAAAACTGAATATAACTTAACTATATATGAATTAAAATTTGCGGGTGAGTTTATATAATTCGTGGGGGCACGTTTGTATAATTCAGTTATTTTTGTATAGACTCAAAATAATGAATTTATACATACACAAACATCTGAACTTTAAACAGTTATACAAAAATTGTACAAATTGTATTATATAAATTCTAAATTATACAAACATGCGAATTACATAAATTCGAAACCTCAACCCACATAATTATCACTGAATATTTATCGCGATTAATAATTGACTTTAACTATAACTATTAATTATTATGACTAATTAATTAGTATATGCTTATTTTACAATGTAATTTTCCCTATTTAAAATAACAATACAATAGCAAACAACGGGTAACAACCATCTAAACAAGATGCAAGCCAAAGAGGTTGGTAGTAGGTAGAGAACAAAATATGGTTTGGTGCGATGATTCTGGGCTTAAATTCGTTTATTAGGAAATGTTGAATGGTACCAAAAAGATGCCAAAAAGGGTTTTTGGGACCTGGGATTGTGGTCCTTATTCTACAATGATATAAAGGTTTAAATAATTGTTACTACTCCCTGCATTCCTTTTTATATGTTATTTATTTCTATAAATAATTGATCCATAATATTTGTCATTTCATAAAATTAATGCATAAATTAATATATTGTTCCTTTTTTATCTTTGTGAGTTATTAGCCTTGAAAATATACATTTGACCAACTTAGAAAAACTAAGTAAATGGTTCATGTTCATTGATTAAATTAATTAATCAAAATAAATTCATTCATATTCATTGATTGAAAACTTGAGTTCCAAAAAAATTAAATAAGGGTAGAAGGGTAAAATTACATCATTTCTTAATACAAGTGTAAAGTAAAAAATGTGACATATAAAAAAAAATGGAGGGAGTACCATATAATACTCTCTGTTCTAATTTATGTAATACTTTTTGGCTTTCGAAATTTAAATAAATTTACCTTTGATAGTAAATTTTTCATATATCTTTTATATATTTTGAATTATTAATTATTGTGACTTAAAATACTTTTTACGTAATTTATAAATATATAAATTTCATTTTAAAAAAAATTAAAAATTCCATGCGTAAATTTTCGATCAAACTTAAATTATTTAACTTTAAAAAAACAAAAAATGTCACATAAATTGAAATAAAGGGAGTAATAATTATATGCAAAGTACTTGGCTGCTAAAATTACAGTATCTTCTGGGGATCTCATCTTAGTTCAGTGCATATGTTTGTGGGCCAATCATAAATCATGTGGCTCTACTCAAATTGTGCCAACTTATTTTATCTTTAATTTAACTACAGTACTCATGTTAGCTCAATTGATACTTTGGCACAATTTTTCTAATTTTTTTTCTTCTTTTAATTGGATGTATCAAATTTTGAAGAGTCGTGTTGAATAGTTTTCTACTCTAGTTTTGAGAATGATAAAATATTTTAGGGAGTCATTCACACCAATGCTCATATTTTGAGGTGGTGTTTAAAATTCCTAGATAATTTACTTAGGAATTTCAAAAAAATTCAGATAATATTTACTTATAAAAGTTTTTCATTGAATTTTGTTTAGTAGAAAAATATGCAGGAAATTAGATTATTTGCAAAAAAAAAATAAAAAAATTGGTGTAATCTCCAGATAAATTCTCACGTATTTTTTTATTTTTTTTTATTATTATATAGAGACAATGAGTTTGATGAGTTGGATAATTTTTTATTTATTTAAATGACAGTTTAATGAGTAGAAAAAAATGTAGGAAATTAGATTATTTGCAATTTTTAAAATCAAATAGGTTGTGTCTTTGATATGTTCTAGGGGGTGTGGCAAAATCAAACCCAACTCGTCCAATCCGTTTAAGTTTGGGAGGGGGAGGGGGGAGGGTTATTGATATGTAATCCGAAATGACTGGTGAGAAATCTTGTCAAAATATATATATATATTTTAATTTGATATGTTATATATAACCATAATAAAAAATAATAATTTTATTAAGTACTAAAATATTTTAAAAGACCAAGTAAAACAAATTAATCTTCGTAAAAATCAGATTAGGTTGATCTTGACATATTATGTTACTTATCACCTAATTCATTTTGACCCAACCCGTTTAGACCCTAACAAAATTGAGTAAAAAGATTCCACTAGAAAAGTGTGATACCTTGGAAAAAGAAGAGAGAGAGAGGAAAAAGGAAGGAAAAATCATTTTAAACAACTACATCCATTGTGTTTGGCCATTTCTTCTTACCTTTACTCGTTTGTCCATAAATCAATTATATATATATGATATAAGAGCTATCATGTCATCCAATTCTAAACATTGACCTTTTTTTATTCGATGTCTCATATAATTGAAATGTTTGTCACAAAAAGCTCATTCAGGGGAACGCTCCTTATAAAAAAACTATTTATTAAAATTCAAATTAAAACCTTTAGCTAACAGAAAAATAGCTTCATCTACCATGTACAAATTACAATATTACAACCTTCAACAGTTATGGACAATTCTAGTTTAATTTGGCGCAGTGTGCACCCATTATGTTGTAATTGAGCAATAAATCCTACTATCATTAATTATATATACACATATGTAATGAAACATGAACATTGTTCATTTCAGGTTAATTTATTCTGAATTTTAGATTCGTCTCTAATAAAAATTCTATATTAATTATGCATTGGGGGCAAAATATATTGACAACATTTTAAGTTTGCCACTAAATTTCATGTTGATATTCAAATTATGACATATTTTAATTGAATACTTCAGAAACACACGATAAAATTTTATTAAACATATTTGGATTATATTTAATTTTGAGAAGTTCCAATGCACAACTGTCCATTACTTTGATAAGTGAATCACATAAAATATATATGTCTCCTTATTTTATATTACACATTAGCATCAACCAGAACACGCATGAGGTTAATGGTATAATTAATTAAAGAATTAGATGATATATTATACTAGTTAACTTATTCACATATTGGACGTTTGACAACAAGCGTAAAAGAATTCTAAGTCACATGTATAATAAAATCACTTTATTATATATTCTGATGCCCAATTAAAATACATAATAATTTAAATATCAAAATAAAATTTACTTGAAAAATTTAAAAGATCGTCGACCTTGCGTCTAGAATATCTCTCCCTATATAAGGATGTGGTTCTTGTCATCAATTCTTCACCTCCAAGTATTAGGTAGTTGTTGAGAATATATATGGAACATTAAAACCGTGGTCATTTAAATGTGTAAATATATGCTATTCTTTAAGATGGATTTTGGACATATATGGATGGAAGGCCAGCTCTACGTAGGAAAGGGACTAGGACTTTCTTTCTTTCTTTTCATTCGATTCGATATTTGATATTTGTATAGGGATTCGATTAGATTAAAATTTGTGTATTATAAAATATTTCTGAAATTCACGCTCCCAATTGAATTATTTCCATTTCTGAGCCTCGAACACAAAATCTCCCCATGTTTAGGTTTTGCAACTTGGGATCTCAACTTGACAATTACATTGCTAAATAAGTTTTTGAGTGTTGACTGTTGAGAAGTTGTGTGGAATAAATTATTTTGTCTTCTAGTTGGAAGACAAAAGCCAAAATAAAGAAAGAGCTGCCACAAAGTCCAGAATAAATTTTCTGTTCAATTTGCAACTGCTCGTCTTAGTATGATGAAAAAGTTGTGTTCTGATTCTGTCTAATCCACAACTCATGGACACCAAAAATCCAATTCTGAAGAAGCAAAGATTGAAATTTAATTATAACACAAATATTAATTGTTTTGATAAATTAAATTTATATAAGAGTATGTTAATTGTTATAAAATTAGAGCAATATATATATATATGTAGAAATCTCACTGAGTATGGAAAAATCAAGAATTGTATTGATAAAAATAATATTGAGTTGCAAGCTCCTTATATAGGAGAAGAGTCTTATTCTAGCTATACTAGGAATTCTATTACAACACATATATATTATTTACATGATTAGTATTATACTATAACTCAAATACCTTATCCTAGTTGACTTTAGCCTCCTACACGAAATAGTAGCTTAGTCGTACATAATTTAGGATTCACTAGTCTTGTCCTAGTATGACTCTAACTCCAACTCTAACTCAACAACCAACTTCAATAGATCTGTTCCTTTGATATGTTCCATCAGGCTTCAGGCTTCCTTCAACACTTCCCCTCAAGCTAGTGAGTGGAGGAATTGTAACTCCTAGTTTGCTGCGAAAAAACCTATTTTGTTAAGGCTTTGGTATGAATATCAACTAGCTGATCCTTAGACTTCACAAACTGAGTAAGAAGTTGTCCCCTGGCCACCTTCTCACGAACAAAATGATAGTCCATTTTAACATGTTTGGTTCTAGGATGCATAACTGGACCCGTCATGTACAAGGCACTCATGTTATCACAATACAACGTAGGAACAAATCAAAGGAACACTCCAAGGTCATGAAGAAGATACATGATTCAAGTCATCTCTACTACAGTGGAGGTTAGTGCTCTATACTCAGCTTCAACACTCGATCGGGATACCATGGTCTATTTCTTGGAAGTCCAAAAAATACAATTTGCACCTAGGTAGATGCTATTGCCTGTAGTTGATCTCCTAGTAGTGGTACAACCTCCCCAATAAACATCTGAGTATCCATACAACCTACTTGATGATTGCAAAATAATTCTGAATCCAAAGTGTAGAGTACCTTTGATGTACCTGAGAATCCATTTTACCCCTTGAAGATATTCAATGTTTAGGCTTTGCATAAACTGGCTTGCTAAATTCACAGCATGAGTAATATCAGGTTTTGTGAGGGTCAAATACTGAAGACTCCTTACTATCATTCTGTACAAGGAGGCATCTACAAGACTTCCCACAACTTCATGCAAACCATGCTTTTGAGCCAAATGAGTGGCTACAGCCTTTGCCAAAGTCATCTCTGTCTTGGCTAATAGCTCAGCAACATACTTGCTTTGACTTAAGTGAATTCCTCCTTCAAAATACTTAACCTCAATTCCTAAAAAGAAGTGTAAAAGGCCAAGATCTTTCATAGCAAACTCCTTCCCAAGTTGTAGAACCAACTCTAAGACATGTGATGGATTACGTCATGTGATAATAATATCATCCACATATAACAAGAGAAATATTTGCCTTTGTGAGTTTGCAAAGTAAATAAGGAAGGGTCAGCTTTACTACAAATGAAACCAAGGTGTAAGAGATGCATGTTCATAGCAAACTCCTTCCCAAGTTGTAGAACCAACTCTAAGACATGTGATGGATTACGTCATGTGATAATAATATCATCCACATATAACAAGAGAAATATTTGCCTTTGTGAGTTTGCAAAGTAAATAAGGAAGGGTCAGCTTTACTACAAATGAAACCAAGGTGTAAGAGATGCATGTTAAACCTATCAAACCAGGCTCTTGGTGCTTGTTTAAGACCATACAATGGGTTTTTAAGTAGACACACATGCTGAGGATACTTAGGTTCAATAAATCTAGGAGGTTGACTCATGTACACCTCCTCTTGTAGGAAACCATGCTAAAAAACATTTTTGACATCTAATTGTCTAACTTCTCACTTTGAGCTTACAACCATGGAAAGAACCACCCTAATAGTTGTGGCTTTAACCACAGGGCTAAATGTTTCTTCAAAGTCTATCCCTTCAGGCTGCGAGAATCCCCTTGCCACAAGTCTGGCCTTGTATCTCTATTGTTCCATCAACTTTTAATTGTCTTGAAGTCCATTTTGAGCCAATCAAATTTATACCAGGAGATTTGGGCATCAATAGCCATGTCTTGTTAGTATGTAAGGCATTGATTTCCTCCTAGATTGCTGCAAGCCAATGAGGTGACCATGAGATTTGACATGTTCCATCAGGCTTCAAGCTTCCTTCAAATATGATTCGAAGTGTATTTAAATATGAAATTCTCTTATGCCTCTGTTTATAATATTACATAAAGATATATAAAATAATAATTATAAACATGACATTAATTATGAAAATGGAAATTATAAAGAAAAGTTATGAAGGTGTGGAAATTAAATGTCATAATAATGAAAAGTAGTGGAAGATTTATTCTAAAATAACAAACATCCACAATTATTAGTTTCATAACATTGACAGTTTAAAATAACATTTTTTGTTGTTCTGAGTAACTTCTTTTCAAATTAACTCATGTTGTCTCAATTAGTAGGTTGCTAATTATGTGAGGCATTTTGAAAATGGAGTATTCCTCTATTTCAATTGAATTGAATCCTTTTTATTTGACATGTAGTTTAAGATGGTATAAATTTTCTCAAAATTTTATAATCTTTAACTTAAAAGATAAATTTTATAGTCATATTAGTTGTCCATTTTCTCTTTTATATGCTCCTTAAGAAATAAAAAATAAAAAGGATAATTTTGCTAATTTACTCCTTAATAGGAAATTTTTTGAAGCTTTACAAAACTTGCTTACACTTTCAAATATGAATTAATTCTAAAGGGTAAAATGAGAAAACATCAATTTATTCTCTCTTTATAGAATTGATAAATAATTTGGTATAACTATTTTTAATAATGTAGACAACTAATAAATGGGATGGAGGAAGTATCAAAATATCACAAGCTAAAATTAAAGAGTTACCAAAAATAAGGAAATAAAAGTTCTTTATAAAACGAACTAAAAAAAATTAAAAATAAACCAACAAAAAGAGTAAATACTAAATAGTACTCCCTCCAGAGATTCTCACGAAAAATGACGAATTTATATTTATTTATACCATAGTAGAAGAGGCTAGAATGGAATTAAAATTGCATTAAAGGGAAATTTTATCATTTAAGAGTTAAATTATTTAAAAAAATTAAATAATTTATATATTTAAAAATTACATAACATGTATTATAAATTACAATAATTAATAACTTAAATTATTTATAAAAACATATAAAAAATACACGGTCAAATAAATATTTGATTGACTCTCCAAATTCTATCCATGCTACATAAATTGGGACCAAAGGAGTAAAAACATTTAAAATAATTTATTTATTTGCAAATCATAATAATTAACAACTTAAAATAATGATTTTTTTTAAAAAAAATTATGGTCAAACAATTTCTTTACTGACTCCCGAAATTCTATCTGTGTCACATAAATTGGGATATAAAGAGTAACATATATTGCACCTGTGTCATATAAAAAATTATGATCAAAGAAAAATTTGATTAACCCTCCAAATTTCATCTGTATCACGTAAATTTGAAAAGAGACAGTAAAGACATTTATATAATCAAAAAGACATTTTCAATAAAATATATATTTGCAAAATATGTTAAAGTAAAATAAATCACAATAAGTAATAATTTAAATTAATTTAAAAAATTCGAAATGACCGCCCATTTTTTTTATCAACTCTAATTTTCTTTTAATCTATATCATAAATTAAAATATAAAAACAATATATATTGAACTTGTGCTGATATAGACCACAAAATATGTGGTTTTATTTAGGTTGGAAGACAATTTGGAGAAGAATTGAGTTTTTGACTTTTGACTTGATATTTTCCTAAATTTGACTCATTAAGATGTTTGTGGTTAGCAAGTTGATTGATTTTGACAAACCACCCATATATATTTCTAGTTTAAAATGTTGACCATAATAAGTCTCCCTACTAATTAAGAGTTTATTATATTTTTACTTATAAATTTATATTTGTTATATTATAATTTTAATAATTTTAACATAAATTTATATTTGGCAATTAAAATATATAAACCCAATATCTTAAAGCTCCACCTGCCTACCGGCTCCGGCTCCCCTCCATTACCCCTTTCCTCCATTTCGTCAAGTGCACATCTAGATCAGAGACATCTGTCTTATTTAAAGTTTAAATGTCAAGATTATATTATATTAACAAATATCATAACCATAGTTGAGTCAACTATTTTAGAAAACTACTCTTCAAATTTGGTAAGAATTATAATATATTCCATACAAAATTTAATATTTATTAATATCATTAGTTCATCTTAAATTTTTATATTTAAATATAAAAATATAAAAAAATTTCTCACCATATTAGTTAATAGCTTTTGAAAATCAGTTTTTGCTATTTACGTATTTAATTTCCTTTCGAAATATATAAATTACGAAAAGGAATTATAATTCCTCATACACATTTGCAGTTTTTTCTTTACTGTCTCTTTTTTATTTTTTTTCTTTTAATTTGTTGGGCAGATGCTAGTAAGAATTGGATTTTACCAATGGGTGGGTAACAATATATGACCAACGTTACGGTACTTTACAATATATTCCATACAAAATTTGATATTTATTAATAATATTAATAAATATCAAATTTTGTATGAAATATATTGTAATTCTTACTAAAATTTTAGAGAGTAGTTTTCTAAAATTAGTTGACTTAACTATGGTTATGATATTTGTTAATATAATATAATCTTGACCTTTAAATTTTAAATAAGACACATGTCTTTCATCTAGATGTGCACTTGACGAAATGGACGGAAGGGATAATGGAGGGGAGCCGGATCCCCTGCCACCCAACCTCCTTTCCATGAAATAGGCACCCCTTCTTTATCCACTCGAGCTCTATTTCTGATACCTTTTTAATTAATATTTTATACACAACTGTATGTATCTATCCATAATTGTTCCTAGATACAATGTATTCAATTGGATTCACATTTATTTGGTATACATAGATAAATCTCGTTCGTCTCCCTCCCATTTCGCTCACCACTCTCACATCTCGCTTGTGTATTTGGTCATGAATCACATCAGATACATGTATATAATGTATATTTAAAGTGATTCACACCGACTTGAAATTTGGTATGAAATTATTAAATAGTGAAATAAAATGTAATTTTTTTTAAATTATAGAGAAAATTAATAAATATGGTAAGAATACTTTGTATAATTAGACATGTTTAATTAAGAGGTTGTCAATCTTGCATCAATGTATATATAGGTGTGAGATAAGATTGTATATAAGGATGTGGTTCTTGTCATGACTTCTTTTAACTTCCAAGTATTTGGTTGTTGTTGAGAATATATGTGTGTGTGGCAGCTCAAAACTGTGACCATTTAAATATTTGTGTAACCATATGCTATTCTTTAGGATGGATATATATGGGTGGGTATAAATGAATGCCAACTTTCTTGAGGAAAGGGACAAGGAAGTTTGCTTTTAGAACCTGCTAAGGGGCAGCTTCTTATTTTTCCTTTTTGAGTTTTTGCAACTTGGGAACTCAACACCTAATTAAGTTTGGGATAGTTTGATTCACGAATTAAGTTATTTTAAATTTATAATTTAAAAATATATTTCTTGATTAATTATTTTACTTAGAAAGTGAGATAAAATAACAGCAAATTTGATGAGTTAATTGAGATTAAATTTATATTTTATCGAGTAAATTTTTTGAATAGTCAGTCATGTTTGAAAAATTATCTAATAATATCACTTTTGTTTCTTTTAGAATTATAATAATTCAACTATTTTTATTTTTCTCAAAATATAGACACAGTAAAAGTATCTTTCTCTTTACTAGTGGGATGCCATGTCACATATTTTTTTGTATAAGATATTAGTGCTTTAGAGTTCAAAAAATTTGTTGTTAAAAAAAGAAGAAATAATGTGACATATTATTTCATTATCAAAGAGAAAAATGTTTTTATTGTGTCAAATATATTTTGAGGAAAATAAAAATAGTTGAGTGGTATTGTAGTCCTAAAATAAATAAAAGTGATATTACTAGGCAATTTCCCAAAGTGACTATTCAAATTCAAGTAATTTAAGCATCTTTCGAATTAAGTAATACGACTTGCATTCTAATTACATATCAATTCATGCTAAATCATCATGTGTGATCATGCTCCAGATTTAAATAAGCATAAACTGACATAAAGAATGAATTTTTTCATAATCAAATCAAATTTTAATCCAACAAACAACCTAAAATCAAGCTAAACGATCTCGGAATGTCGAAAATGACATTGTCCACGACCTAAAGTCAAATTTCAATATTATCTGTATTA